GTGCAGTTCCTCAGAGATCTAGATAACAGCATTGTGCCCACACACTGGCCACAATACATTGATATATCAGTATGTTGCATGATAGTGCAAAGCAGATACTGAAATCCAATGTGAAGTCTTTATATTGTGATTACAGCTGTCTGAAACTTGATTGAGTGATTTTCCAGCTCTTTAAGACTGAGTAACATCAAAATTATCTATCAAACGGGTCTTTTTTTTTTTTTAATAGGAATATTAATTTATACCTCTCAGTGATGCACTAAAAGGGCTGATGAGTGCTTCTACTAATACAAAATAAAATGATTACTATTTGATAATTCCTGCAAAAAACAGTTTCAGTATGAGTGTCCACAGTGCATTGTGAGGTGCCAAATCTTCCCCACCCATTCAAGAACAAAGTCACTGGACATTTTGTTGACGCCCTCTTCAATGGACAGGACAGCATGGATGTGTATACAGGAAAGAGTCAGAATTGTTCCGAGCTGATTTCAAGGGTATAAAGAATGACACCATTTTTGTTGCTAAATTACAACAATATAACAGCATATGTATGTAACAGCATAGACCAAAACTATACTCCTACAACTTGTCTCAGCATTGTTTTTGAGACAGCAACAGGGTCTCTACTCTATGAAGTCAGCTTCACTGATTTTTCTATATCCTCTTACCTCATCACTAAAATACTTTGTTGTCTTTAAGGCACTCCAAGCTTGCAGGGAGAAGAGGCATACACTTTAAGTATGTAATTATTTATTGTTAGCAGAATGCAACACAAATACCACATGAGAGTGTAGATAATTTGTATAGTCCGTGACTGTTCAGTAGATGTTCAAGGATTTATACTGAACAGAATACTTCCTAAATATAAAGATGACAGCCTACATACTTGATTATAATTTACCGGTAACTGGCAATGAGACAAATAATAATATTAGCAGTTTCTTGCCTTTTTATTTCTTGACCATTTATATTACAGTCAAGCACTTCCAGATTTAGCAGCATTTTAATGCCACTAAATTTCCCATCAAACAAAATTTACACTGCTGAAATATGAGAGACATTATTTTTTAATTTTTTTTTAATCACTAGCATTATGCAAATCCGTGCCACATATGGCAGACTTTTATTCTTGGATGTCTTCTAGAAGAAGTCGCAAGACTTTTTAAAATGCAGAATGTTTAATCACTTTTTTTCACAGGATTTTATTTACTCCTTAGAGGTTTAAGATCATAGACCTAGCTGGTTTATCTTCATCTATTTTTCTTTTAATCAGTAAATTCTGCCCTCAAGTCCTTTTAGCAGCAAATAATAAAATTCTCTACATCATAAAATTCTTACATTATACTTTAAAATTCCCAGTTTCCCTCTCAGACACAACCAAAGACAGCACAACATGAATGGTGAGATTTGAAGAACATGGGAACAAAATTTTGCAAAGTAATATTTTACTTCAGGTGAAAATTCAAATTACCATAACTAATCTGAGTTTCCCTCCCAAAGGGACATCCAATGCAATAAAATTTAAACAGCGGTGAGTTTAATAATATAAAAACTATTTCTTGCAAAGTGAGCAATTATGTTGTGAAATTCCATGTTATATGCAATTAGAGAAGCCAAGAATGCAGCAAGGATTCAAAACCAAGTTTGAATACGTGTAACAGAAGTTATAAGAGGTATCAAACACTTGAAAGCATTAGTAAGCTTTGTGTTTCAGGGCTAATGAAACTTAACAATTTGATATTATTTCATTTCATTAATTTCATTTCTCTATTACATACTCCTTAAGACTTTCTAAGAATTACTTTGTATTTGCTACAGTAAGAGACAGGCAGCTGAACAAAACTGGCCTTGTGCCCCATTACAGAGTAGCAATTACAGTATACCACTTTTGTGCCACACCATCAAGAGGCAAAATGTAGGATTACAGTTTGGTAGATGCTTAGTTTCTTTTTCATATATATTTGTTCTTGAACAGGGACCAAGTGCCTAGGTGTAGAATGGAGATTCTTCATCTTAGAAAGAGTACAGTTATTACTCAAACCTCATTGATAGTGTTAGTCTTATGGCCACCAAAGAATTGCAGACAAGGCATATATGTAAAATCCAACCAAATATTCTCCATACAGCCATTAGAAATGTAATGTAGTCCACATTTAGGTCCTGGTCTAGTAACACAGGCAAAGGAGAACTACACTTTTAACTGTCTTCAAAGTGATTGATTTCCATGGTAGCATGAAAAACAAATGCAGCTATCAACTAATAAAAATGCTAGGCAGACTGTGTATTGTCATTGTAGGAATATTTACTTAAATCTTGAAAGAGAATCCCTTAGTACCAAATGCAAAGACCAATGTCCTAATATCTTAAACTTTTGTACACACACAAAATTGCAGAAAACCATGTAAAATCCAAAGGGGAAAATAATTTAAAAGGATACTATTAATCTATTACTGTTTTAAAAACAAATTATCATAGCATAAAAAGGCATTTAATACATGGTTTATATTGCTTTTTACTCCGTAAACTGAAGACTGAGAAAATACTTAAAATTACACAAATCACCAAATGAGTCAAAATCCCATTTGCGGTTTTATATCTAACACTGATATTTCAAAGGGCTATAACATCTTTCCTTATTTAGGGTCACTGACTATTGTAGGGTTAGAAATTCTAGCCTCATCGTAGCATTTCTTAGTTAAAAAAGGGAATCAAACATACAGTTTGATTGTATGTTGTCCCTGCACCTTAAAATACATTTTTCTATTGTCTTTTCCCACAGGTACAATGCTGATTTTATATTTATTTATTTATTTTTACTATAATTTTAAAAAGTAATCTAATGTACTCTGTAATTTGATACTTTTAATTAATTTGACTAATGTTTTCCATCTTGCCACTTAAATTTTCTTCTCATACTCTATGTTCATTTTCTTTAAGGGAACCAAATTTTATGGGTCATTTACACAAAGGGCAGCAGGCAGTACTCTTTAAGCATAGATGTTGAAATTTTTAAATGTTTATAAATTTAAATGTTTATAAATTAACAAATAAATTTATCTGAAATTAGATTTTTTTTCCTCTCTTCCTTCCTTCCATTACACTGTTATTTATCAAAACAAAATCCTGTGAAAATCTTGAGTCTTCTGTCAAATAGACTTATTTCTGAGTTGCACATTTTTATTCCAAAGAACTTTAGGTAACACAGAAACATAGAATCATGTTAGGTTAGAAAAAACCTTTAAGATTACTGAGTCCAACCATTACCCTAAGATTACCAAGTCCACCACTAAACCATGTCCCTAAGCACCTCTACTACATGCCTTTTAAATACCTCCCGGGATGGTGACTCCAGCACCTCCCTGGGCAGCCTCTTCCAATGCTGGATAACACTTTTGGTATAGGAGTTTTCCCTAATAACCAAATTAAACATCTGCTGGCTCAACCTGAACCCATTTCTTCTTGTCCTAGCAATTCAGGACTGTCCAATTGCTGTTCCTGTCCTTTCCTGATCATTTTCTCAGTTCTCTTGTATGAACCATGACAAAGAAAAGGGACATTTTTCTTGAATTACATCACATCTAATTAAAATACACTCTCTTTAGCGTAGAAATCAGTATTTCTACCAGGTAGTGCCAATTTCTCTACAGCTATATTCTTCTACAAGGCAATGTGAAAAATTGTAAGTGATGCTACAAAATATCTTGCCAGGATTGCAGAAGTAAATTATCATATACAAATTCTTCAAAGAATAATTTACATTTTCTAATACATCTGAGAAGCTCTTATCTATGTTATCAAGCCCATGGTATGCAGTTGCGATAAATAAGGGAAGATTTAAACTTCAATCAGTAGAATTGCCTTTTTCTTCACCAAGCAGCTAATATTAAAATGTGTTAGAGCTATAAATATTGTTTCTCCTTTACTCAATGTTTTCAGGTCTGGAGTAGCCAAAGATAAGCTGTTCAAAACTGTAAATTAAACCACCTTGCAGTTTAAGTTGTAGCATGTTAGGATTACAATAATTACGACCTTGAATATAGCTCCCTATTTTTTATATATCATAAATAAGCCCTGTCAGAGTTACTAAAGGCAGAACTTATTTTCATGTAAATTGTTTCACTTAAATATATAATTGATTATACTTGGGCCATCATTAATACCAGACTGTCAACAATATAGAATACACTGAAAATCTGTCTTCACCCCAGGAAGCAGGTTAATGGTAAGGCAGAACTGGTAAGAAAAGAAATAACTTGAGTGAGAACCAGTGCTTTTTATTGTTTTTAACACTTGCTAAAAGAGACACGATACCCAGGGCTGATCATCTTCAACAGTTTGCTTAAGTAAAAACTCTAAAATGCTCTAAAAATGCTCCAGAAGTTTTTGAAAAGTTTTTTGACAAAGAAAGATATAATGAAGAGTTCTTATTATACCCCTCTGCCAATCTTTTGGCAGTGAAATACTGAGGTTCCAACAATATCTGCATATGGGAATTTGTTTAAACGTTTTTGTTTAACATTCAGATTGTAAATGGAAAATAAAAAAAAAAAAGGAAGTTTTAAAAGAGAGTTCTCAAAATTGTCCCTGAGAATATAAAGTTGAACTGATATTTTTTCTGCATTAAGGATTTGGTAACTGAAACTCAATAATTAGATAAGTTAATAATGTAATTGATCGACAAAAAGCTCAATCCATGCATGGCTACTGCTGCTTTTGCTTTGTAGAATTAGTATAAGTAAACAGCAGTGATAATGTACTTTAGATAACACATCAGCACACTACAAGGACCTGACACATTAAGTGCTATTATGTGACCCTGTGTCAATCTTAGTGCATTTTCATCACGAATTACTGAGAATGAACATAAGAAAGCAATTGTCATTACAGGAATTTACTGAAAGTAGTTTAACACTTCTTTATGTTACTATGCAAAGATAACAGGAGGTAAAATTATACTGGATTTTAGGATTTAATTGGTTTAAGATTAAAGGTCTCCTTACCTTCTATTGCTGAGAGTAGAACTCGAGAATGGTCGTATGCAATTACATTCGCATATCTATTCTTTGGTTTGTTTACTTCCAGGTTAGAGTGTTCCCAAGTGAATTGCTGACCGGGATCAATAGACTTCAAAAGAGACAGAGGAGAAAAGAAAAGGAAACTTTTAGCTAAGGACTAAGTACTTGTATTCATAATAATTACAAACCATATGCTCCCATAATTTAGGCTGGAAATATTTTGCTTTTAGAAGAAAATTAAGACTTCAGGACACACTGTAACATACCATATCATATAATATAAAGCAGTTTGTATTTATGCTGCTGAAATTTCTGTTAGGAATTTAAATCATAAGCTTTTCAAATCCAGGGCTTTCTTTTCAGAAAGACAAGGTTATACTACCCCTGTTTTTATCTTTTCACTCAGTCTGGCAAGTGAGGGGCTCCAGCACAACACAGAATTAGAAAAAAAAATGTTGGAAATGTCAAAAACACTGGGACGAAGTGGAACAAATATTTTTGTCTTTCTCTACTACTAAGTGCACATGTTCAAACAATTCAATGTCCTATTTACTAAATAAACTCCAAACATTCCAAAAGATGTTTTCCAGAAGAAAAATAAAGTTTCTGTTCTTTCATTTTGATGCCAGACCAATACATTATACCAGCGTTGCTCAGGGAAACAACTGTATAACATCCAGGGACAACATAAAAAGACTTGATTTTTCTTTCCCTGAGTCATAAATAAGACAGTAATTCAGGCATATTTGAAATTTTAATGATCTCTTATTTATACACATGACTATATAGTCTTAAAATCACTGCTTAGTCCCTGCTTCTTTAATGTTCCAGGATGTCGTTCCTGAAGCTTGTTCCACCCTGATTCACCCTTCACCTGTAGAAATAAAACAGGCCCTACTACTTACTTTCACCTCTAGGACTGAGTTGCACATACAGCTACATAAACACAAAATACGTAACAGATGGCACCTGCATATGCCCACTATGGTAATGGCTGTATGAAAGGTCATGTCATACTGAGATATCACAGTTAATCACCTGCTGTTATACTTTCCCATTCTGTAACATTAGGGACCTCAAAATTGTTTCATTAACACATGTATGCAACTACGGTTAGCAGTTCACATCCTTTGTTTAATTCTGATAAAAAACAGCAGCTCCCTATGCCAGGTAGCTGTAATTGACACAAGTAGACCTCAATGGGGCAGTTCACCATATTCACCTTCCATGAGTAGACCAGCAACAAAGTGTAACTCGGAAGACCCATACCACCACTACAGCATCAAGCTATAACTTTTACATCACTTATCCTGACTCCTCCCAAGGTTGCAACGGCTGTGAGTCCATTTTATGCTAAAGGAAATGAAGTATGACCTGTAATCTATTATACCACAGCAAAAATATGCAAAATTAATGACTGTGATCTATTAAGATTTATCCCTTAGATTAATAACTACTATTTGGCCAGTCAGAAGGTTGCTTCATTCTCACGGATCTTTAAATATCTTACACATTTTAGTTACGCAATATTCAGAGAATGATTTTGCTTCTTTCTTGAGATGATTCAAAAAAAAATTAGTAATTTAGCCTGTCTGCCTGATCTTCGAATACTCCAGCATTTTGTTTAGGAAACTAAGTCCCAGTAACTTATCCTATCTATTAATGTCCTAGATTCAATTAACTTCTGTAAGAGTTAGTGGCTAATTCTCCTGAATTTTGTTGGATTTTTCATTACAGTCCTCTGGAGTGGGGCCTGGCTGAGCTCCCCTACATAACTTAGCTGAGCAAAGGAGTGTGATGGTTCAGGTTCTGGCTCACCCTTCGCAGACTGCTTTACCTAAAGTAGCTGAGGTAGAGTGTGTGTCAGCTCCTCCCTCAAGAGAACATGAAAAGGCACTTTTTAGAGGAATAAGGATGAAATTAAATGCTTAGGAGCATGAAATAGGCTACTGAAATTTTGTTACTGGTTTGGATATTACTCACTTGAGTTATATCTCTATGTATTTTACCAAGCTCAAAATGTTTTCTTAAACGCTTTGCTGCTCTGTATGAATCTCATTTAATTTCCACACAATTTTTGTCCCCTAGAAAGATTTTTTTTCAACAAATGCAGTATTTGTATTCACAAATTTAGGAATTTCTGGGACTATGCTTACCACAACTTTGTACGTTATTAGTATTAATAGCTTCCCATTATTAAGGTACTATCTTAATAGACTAGTTATTAAGAGTTTTATAAAATTCTTGGAGTTGTTTTTTCATTCTTCTGTATTTTGTATCCATATATGGGAATAACAAAGTATCATCCAATTAGTATTCTGTAACTTGCAAATGCAGGTATCACTTCTGCGGTATGCTTAAGTAAAAGCTTGGCATTCTCATCTTTTGAATATTAGGGCTTGGTCCTTCTCAAACAACATTACTTCTGATTACACAGTGAAATTCCCACTTATCAACAAAGCAAGTGGTCAAGTTTTACTCTGTAAAATTTTTATTCTGTTTTCTTACAATTTAGTGTCATCATGGTAATGTTTTCCCATCCTCTGAGATGGATGGCTGACATACATTTGAAGTAAGTAAGCATTCCTTAATGCAAAAAGCTAAATATGTTTACCTTTACATCTAAGTGCTATTTATTCCATCAAACAGATAAAAGGTTTCTTTTCATCATGAAAAGAACAAATTTGGATGACATTTCCATCAGCACTGGGAAGAAAAGAGTCATATATATATATATAGTATATTTAAGACATGCAATATATTTTTTATCAGCTGACCAGTAATTCATCTATATCACATGACTTGAAAAGCAACCAAATTTACATAATGACTTCTCACAGCAAGAATCTCCCCTCTTTTCTTTTTTGAATGAATAGAGAACTTCTGCAAGATGTTTGCAGGTCTGGTTTTTAGTATTTTAGAAAGTAATTAGTATGGGGTTATTTCAGAATAATAGTAATAATTTAGAAGATAAGTACAGTAGTTTTGAAAAGAGAAGATGCTCTTAACATATTAGTGCATTATACTCACAAAAAAAAAAAGACTTTTAAATAAAATCTATTACTTGACCAGTAATAATAAAGCACATTTACACTATCTGTGGCTACCTAGCCAGAATTTTTTGTGTCATATATGCAAACATGCTAGCTGAAGAACAGTCCACTGTCCAAGAATGAGTCGTCACTGCTTTGCATTGTTCTATATATGCAACTGAAGGAGACACTCTGCCTGATCTGGCAGGTTATCAACTACAGTACTCAAATATTCTGAAAATTACTTCACAATATGAGGTGTCACATACACTTTCTCTTCACACCTGAAAAAAATCCCAGAATAAATTGACAGAATAAAAATCCCAGAATAAACTTGTAACAACATGTTACAAGTATTGAGACTGGACCATAGGACTCAGGCTTTACTGTATCAAAAACAAAAAAAAATGTATACAAATTAAAAAGGCTCAGAACTTTTCTATCTGTGATTGCAACTACTTATGAACATAAAGTTATGAGTGCATTTTGGCATATAGAGTTGCACTTAGGAAATTACGGTCTACGCAGATTCTTACCCATAATAAGAGTTTCAGCTCTATATTATATTTATTTTTAATGTGAATTTCTAGATTATAAAGAATAGTTTACATTTAAAGCCTAGCTTCAACTATTCAGTATTATTCTTTCCTTCTGACTCCCTACTGTTTGAGTGACCTAAAGCTGCTTTTTGATACCAATAAAAAATCAAACAGCTGCTTTCTCTGTCAGTTATTTGTAGAAGTAGATGAGAATATGTTCATAACAGCAATGTCACAGAATATATATTCCTCACTCACTTCTTTGTATGATATATGGCCAGATGGTGTAATTCAGTGATTAATATTTAGGCCCACATGCAGACACAGTTATAAATTATGTCAAAACCAGGCAAATGGATTGAACTTCAATCTTTCCTGTTTTTCTCAACGATCTGAACCACTTTGTGGACTTAATATCCTCCCACAAAGCACTGTTTTGGCAAAAGAAAGTTAATCTATATTTCCTCAGACATAATAGCCACACTGGAACAAAGGGTAGAGTGGTATTGGCAGACACATTTCAGAAGTGTGAAAGACCAATAACTCATGAATAACAAGTCTGTACTAACAGTTTTAATGAGTGCTTTAATGGTTTAATGGATGGCACTTTAATAGGATTTCTAGTATAGTAATTCTGAAAGCTTGCTTTCAATAAAACTGTCATTAACAAAGAACAGGATTTCTTCGTAGCATAACTGTGTAGTATGGTTGCTTTGTGCAAAAGAAATAAGGATATCAGTAATACTGTTATTGCCCTCCCATGCTTCGACTAATCTTTCAGCTATTGTGTTCTAAGCGGTTGGCTGTTGAAAAAAAGTCTGATCTGTCATTGGGAAAAACTTGAGCAATGTCTACTAGTACAACACACCATGCATAAAATATAGTTCTTTCACTATGAATCATGGTAACCAAAACATTTTTTCCAGAATAATTTCAAACAACTTCCCTCTGGTAGACTGTGTACCTGGTCATTGTGAAGTTTTCCTTTACACTACTTAAACAAGAGGAAAATGTTGCCTGCGGTGAGTCTTCCAGGAGTATCTCCTGGTACAGTACTGGTGAAGGAATGCCATCCTCCTGGTGTAAGCTGACATACGCCTGCATGCCTTGGAACAGTGCTTTACTAAGAGTTACTACACTACGAGCCAGCTCGTTTGTGTGTTTATGTTTTGTGGGGAGTGTGAGCTGCTTCTGGCTTTCAAAAGCACAGAAGCATAGGGAGGCATTTCCTGTAAAGAACTTCCCAGCACTGTAGGTGTTGCGGTTGAGGCTCAAGCTAAAGCATCAAAAACTACAGGGTCACAGAGAAACTGAAGGCCAGGTAGTGAAAGAAGAACTAAAAAGGCAAATTTGAGAGAATGTCAATGACGATAGACTCTGCACAACTTGAGATAATAGTCAGTTACCCATGAAAATGAACAATTTGACCCTGTTTTACCAATGTCAGTGATTGCAATGAGGATTTTGTCTCCTATCTGATGAAACTATAATAGGATGCTATTATATTATGCAGGAAACTTGCTAACAGAATGAGATTT